TATTTTTATTTTTTTTTATTTTATAATATTTTATTATTTTTGCGGTTCCTCATTAAATTATCTTTCAACACTATTTATGATTAACTTTTGTTTTTAGGCAGTTTGAAAATTGTGTGGAAAAAATAGAATATTTTTATTTATTTTATCTAAAACAAGGAAACGACTGATAAAAATTGTTCAATTTTGATCAAAGAAATGTTGTAACGTTTTTAAAAGTAATGAAATTATGGCTTGGGGCGTTTTTTATAGTACAGCCTGTATATAAAAACACTACTTCAATATCAAAATGCTAATTAAAAATATGTACTCGACATATTTTTTTTTCAAAATTTAATTAACCAAATAATTAGTTGCTATATGAAAATACGACACTTACCTAGACATTTTTTTTTAACTTTTTAAACATAAGGAAGTAAATTGAATTGCGAATATTGTTAGGGAACTAATTACATAGATACATTTTAATTTGAACCTAGGGATTATGTTCAGAATTAAAAAATATCTCAGTATATAGGGTTATTCACGAGAGGGTTATTTCTGATTTTTTTTTGCCATATGTCTAATGAGTTGCGGCAAAAAAAAATCAGAAATAATCCTCTCGTGAATAACCCTGTATGCAAAAAACTGTTGCCATTAAATTATAACTAATTAAATAAAAGTGAAAAAAGCGTTCGAACAGGTTAAAACTTAGACAAATTTGTTGCCAAAACGATTTTTTAACAGTTTTATTATTTACACAGAATTATTTTAAGGGGTGCGAATAAAACTTGACGCACTTGTGAAGGTTTTCTATTTCAACATAAATACGATCAAAACTATAAAACAGCTTTCGCTACTGTTATAATTCTAGTTGTACAACAGATAATAATTAATAAAATAGTTGTGTGAAATTCGTATTCTGCACATTGAAAGCAATTTTTCAGTTATGGTGAACCAAATTCAAATTCACCTTTACAAATTTTTTCTTGTTGGAACGCGTCATTTTATTTATTTATAATTTGATGGAAGGACAAACATTTTTGTTTCAAGGCGTAAATTTATTTTTAAAACAAGTTGTAATGATTAATATGGATAACAATATTTATTCTATACAGGCTGTTCCGTCTAAACCCCACATTAAAAGTATTGGGAGTTCGAATAATCATATTTATTTGAAAATTGGTACATAGCCATAATCCATTAAGTTCTCATAAATGAAAATATTTTCAAAATGGCGGCACTTCCGGTTGTATCGGAAGTCGGTCTCAACTTTCTTATTTTAAATGGAAAGCTATATTTTTTACTGCGTTTTTGAATTAATCTGGTTATTTTAAGGGAGTTTTCATCAGCTTTTCCTATACCTAAATTTAGCCGTTTTTTAAATATTTAGAATTTTTCAAAAATTTTTGGATTTGCACCTTACACTTTAAAAATCGGTAACTCTGCTATTTTTTAAAATTTCGAATTTATTTTTTTTTGGCGTTTGAAAGAGAAAATTAGATATTCCTTCCGGTGTTTTCAAATCTTGAAAAAAAAATTAACAAACCCTAAAATTTTAAGGTTCCTTTTGTAATAATTCAAATACTCATAACTCCATTTTTCCAAATGTAATACCCCAATTTTTATTTTACTAAATGGAAGAGAATTTAGTTCTACATCGATCTGTATTAACATTTCCTATACCTAAATTTAATAATTTTTAAGTTATGGTGGCTTTTTGTTAAGACTGCTGAAAATCTATTACTAGCCACATCCGTTTTCGTATAGTTTGCTATGGAAATCAAAAATGTCAAAATTGTTTCTCAATAAACGTCGACAGTGACTTATTATTTGACAAATAGTGCCAAAATATGGAGAGTCAAAGCTACTCTAACTTAGATTTAATTAATTTATTTTGTATTTATGGAGAGTGTAACAAAATTATGATGTCGTTCTTTAAACAAAAATAAATTTTTCTCACTTGTTAGTTTTAAATAATGATCGCATGGTAGAACCTATCAATAATAATTAAGTTTGCATAACTTTGATTCTCCATATTTTGGCACTATTTGTCAAATAATAATTTACTGTTGACGTTTTTTAGAGAAAATTTTGACATTTTTGATTTCCATAGCAAACTATGTGAAAACGGGTGTGGCTAGTAATAAATTTTCTGTAGTCTTAACAAAAAGTCCATAACTTAAAAGTTATTAAATTTAGGTATAGGCAATGTTAATACAGATCAATGCACAATTAAATTCTCTTCTATTTAGTAAAATAAAAATTGGGGTATTTCATTTGAAAAAATGGAGTTATGAGTATTTGCATTATTACAAAATTAACCTTAAAACTTTGGGATGTTATTTTTTTTCAAAATTTGAAAACACCAGAAAAAGGATCTATGCTTTCTCCTTCAAACGCCAAAAAAACGAATTCGAAATCTTAAAAAATGGCAGAGTTACCGATTTTTAAAGTGGAAGGTGCAGCTCCAAAAATTTTTGAAAAATTCCAAATATAACAAAAACGGCTAAATTTAAGTATAGGGAAAGCTGATGAAAACTCCCTTAAAATAACCCGATTAATTCAAAAACGCAGTAAAAAATATACCTTTCCATTTGAAATAACAAAGTTATAAAAGCGAAGTGCCGCCATCTTGAAAATATTTTCATTTATGAGATCTTAATGTATTATGTACCATTTTTCAAATAAATATATTATTCGAACACCCAATACTTTTAATGTGTGATTTAGACGGTACAGCCTGTATATTTTAAATTGGCAACAGTTTAAAAAAATCCAATTGCAGTTCGCTTTTAAATACATTTGCCTTGAAAAGATGCACACCTAGATACACGTGTTACTAAACCGTTTATAAAGCAGCGTTCGGCATTCGCACTTCTATTCGTACGTCAGTCAATTCAGTGCGCTTCAGTAGTGCCAATATAGCAAAATTAAAATTCGCATATTAGATTTTTCCGCTTTTTATGGACACGAAAGTTTTAGTCTGTGAAACACTTGGCAAATGTTCCGGTCTTTTCAATTAGGAAATAGTGGGTATTTTTAGTTTATTATGTTTGTCCCGTTATTATTTCTGTATATTTCGAGCGTCTCCGGACTTGTTATTATTTTTAGATTTAAATTCCAATGAGATTTTTTGATTTTAATTAAATTTTCATTGTATCTTGTAAATTTTTCTTTGTTCTCTCTGATTCAAATTCAAGGTCAAGGCTACCAACATCATGGTGGTACATTTGTTATTTATAGTTTGGCAAAGTCCGAATAATAATAATTATCAACTCCTCCTACACCTGACAAGTGCTCATTATAAATTTAAATTTGGCGCTAATTTAAATTTTCGCCCACCTGATCAAATCTAGCAGCGTATCTTGTGTAAGTACTTTTCTCTTCAGCCCCTCATCTTTGCTGAGTTCACTCGCAGTGGCGGCGATGGCGCCCGCTCCCGGTTTAATCGTTATGACGAGGATGATTCCCAAGATAACAGCACACACTGTCGTTGTCGCATAATAAAGAATCGCTCTAGCAGCGATTTTCCTCGATAAACTCAGATCTAAACTGCCGACGGCCGAAATAATGGACGCCATCAGCAACGGAATAATGAGTGATTTAAGCATCCGGAGGAAAATTTCTCCGGGAAACATCAAATACATTGTTTCTCTCTGGTTCCATTTTTCTTTCGATAGGGACCTCAAAGTAGAGCCGACTGCGGTACCTGCTATCACCCCAACGACCGTAAGGATAGTCAGGAGATTGTTGCGGACGAAAGTTCTCCACTTCGACATCTTCGAGCTTCACCTGAAATAAGAAAAGAAAAATTCAATCATCGAAATTTTAATTTCATTAATTAAGAACGAGCTTCTACATTGAAAGCTTAATGTGATTAAGGCCGCTTTCCATTAGGTCGGGGCTTTGTAGGGGATACTTTGAATAGAAAGGCTCGAAATTAAAGGAAAATAAGGCGGATTGACAGCGACGGCGGGGAATTATTTCTATTGAAAATCTCAATGAAAGGATTCTTCTACCTTTAGGCTGCCAAAATACGTTTCAATCATTTTTCAAATATAGGGTGTCCCTGTTGGCTTGTTAATTAACAAAAATTACTATTTCACACAAAATGTTCTATATACAGCATGCGCCAGAATTTGCGCCTCAGAGAATAATGCCATATAAGGTAAGATACCAGGAACATGAAAAAATATTAAAAAAATTTTATCTATTAAAATTTCGAAATTATCAGAGTTTAAATTTTGTACTTTTACTCTATTAGTTTTTGTTGGAAAAATAATTTTCCAAGTTTTTTGCTACAGACTATTAGAAGAGGAAACAAGGAAGCTGTATCCTAAATTGTAACTCTGTTCAATGTTATTTGTGGTTTTTATTGGCCATTTTTTTTACCTTTACTAAATAATTGTAAAAAAAATTGAAAAAAATGGTGAACTGTAAAGTGGGGTCACAGAAAAAAACAAGTAGGACTTACTAATTTCTAAATTTTTTTATTTGAACACGTGACTTTCGGACCTTTTCTTGAATAAAACAATAAAACTAAAATGAAATGTTGAAATATACAGGGTGTTCCGTCTAAACCCCACATTAGAAGTATTGAGAGTTCGAATAATCGTATTTATTTGAAAATTGCTACATAGCCATAAACCATTAAGTCCTCCTAAATGAAAATATTTTCAAGATGGCGGCACTTCCAGTTATACCGGAAGTCAGTCTCAACTTTATTATTTTACATAGAAAGGTATATTTTTTACTGCGTTTTTGGATTAATCGGGTTATTTTAAGAGAGTTTTCATCAGCGTTTCCTATACCAAAATTTAGCCGTTTTTGAAATATTTGGAATTTTTAAAAAATTAAATTAATTAAAATAAAAATTGGGGTATTCCATTTGAAAAAAATTAGTTATGAGTATTTGAATTATTACAAAAGTAACCTTACAATTTTGGGACATGTTATTTTTTTTTCAAGATTTGAAAACAACAGAAAAAGGATCTAAGCTTTCTCTTTCAAACGCCAAGAAAACGAATTCAAAATCTTAAAAAATGGCAGAGTTACCGATTTTTAAAGTAGAAAGTGCTGATCCAAAAATTTTTTAAAAACTCCAAATATTTCAAAAACGGCTAAATTTAGGTATAGGAAAAGCTGATGAAAACTCTCTTAAAATAACCCGATTAATCCAAAAACGCAGTAAAAAATATACCTTTCCATTTAAAATAATAAAGTTGAGACTGACTTCCGGTATAACCGGAAGTGCCGCCATCTTGAAAATATTTTCATTTATGAGATCTTAATGTATTATGACTATGTACCAATTTTCAAATAAATATGATTATTTAAACTCCCAGTACTTTTATTTTAACGTGGGGTTTAGACGGAACATCCTGTTTAATAAAATCTTGAGGCATAGATTTTTTGTATTATTATTTCAGTAAGATTATAATTAATTCTTTTATTAATTAAATTGACAACATTGAAAAACATAAGACAGAATATCTGTAAATTGGCAACTCTTTACCTTTTTACCAATTTAATTTCAAAGACATAGGCTACTTTTGAACGTCTTTTGTTTTTTTCTTATTTTTTTTAGTGATGTTTATTAATTGTACCGCTGAAAAGGTTTAGAATATGTTTTTATTATTTTATGTTTAAATCAAAAAACTACAAATTTTATCAGAATACTCAGCAAAAATTCTCACAGTAACAAAAAATAATTATTTCTACTACATTTCAGTACCAACTAGCACTTTTTTTAATCAGGAGTAGGTAATATGAAATATTTTATTAGCAATCACTAATGTAATATGACGATTACTAAATTTTTAAAGGTTTCATGAGGAGTAATAACATTACTTCTCTTGGGCGGTAATATGCAGGATTGCCAACGTTAAGATTACAAAAATACCGGATTTTTTTTTCTTTCAAATTGTCAAGTTACTCATAATATTTTGCTCAATTAGTACCCAATTCGTTCTGTAGCAGTTTTTCTTACTTCTGAGGAAACCCACTACTCCATTTCAACAATTTTAATATCAGATTCATACATTATTTCAATATCTTTTTTGACATTTCTGAAATGTCAAAAATCAAACGCAATTTAGATGGCCTACCACGTTCGAATCTTAACTTAGTTAGAATTTTATTTTATTCAATTTTTGACTAAAAATAATGTGATTGTGAATAAAATATCATACAAACCTCGGTGGTAATGGCATTACCCCTTGTGCTTCATCCTTTTTTTGTATACCTAAGTACTCGGGGTAATGCCATATTTACCACCTCGTTTGTAATATACTACTTTACAGTATTTAATTTAGATTTTTTATTCTATTAAATTTGGAGGATGAGGTATTGGGTTGCATTGCACTAGTCACAACAGTGATTGGTGCAGAATTTTTTAATTACTTTACCCTTTAGTGAAAAAAAAAACAAAAAGTAATTTTCCCCATCGCTGGAGACATTTGCACACTCATTAATCGTTTTTAATTGGAATGAACTTATCACTTAATAAAGCAAATTACTTAATAGAAGTACTTAATAGGAGTGGTTCAAAAATTCTTGCGATCATTTTAATACAATTTTTTTAACATTTGAACCAATTTGTTACGCAACTCATTTCATTAATAAATTTATTCTAATTAAGTATGTCGTTATAATGTTAATGACATCATCATCATCATCAACAACAAAATGCATGAAATAACTGGTAATTGTGAAAATTGACCAGTTTATACCAACTTGCATAATAAAATCAAAACGACGATAAAATTTTATCAAAATGGAACTTATTTTTCTAGGTCATAAAGACAAAAGCTGAATTTGATGACGAAACAACGAAACAATTCCCGAATGAAAAATCATTTGGATTCAGGAAGAGACTCACTACATTTTTAAATTATACACACGCCGCACTGACAATGACCGCCATGGCATAAATTACAATAATTGAAACATTAATTTACGAATAGATTTAAATTAATTAGATTAACCAAAATACAATCCAATTTAAAATATTTTTAGGACGCTATTTTGGTCATTTAAGCTAAAATCCTAATCTTAAATTACAAAAAGAGATTTTAATTTACATCCGATTTTTACTCAAGGTTATCTACTAGTAAATGAGTGTAGTGGAAGGTTTAAATATTTCAAAACCTATTCAAAATGTGAGAAGGAATGTCACGAATACACGTCACAGATTTAAAACATAAATCTTGTTTACATTTGCTTGCATATTAATTGTTTGCTGACAATTATGCAAATCTACGTAAACACTTAAGGCATGTCAGTAAAATGCTTCGTGAATAAAGAAATTTTCTGATGTGCTGATCAAAGTTTTAATTAATTGCGAAATTTACTAGAAAACAAGGGTAACTCGCTCTGTGATTAATTTAAAATCTGACCGGAATGTACTCGTAATTACAAAATCGAAGCTTGTTCCTGGGTTCTGAATGATTTTAAGGTAAGTAATAGAGAATGGCTTTTATGGTTTCAGTTTTATAAATATACTTCCTCATACACCCGAGGCGGTACTGGTTCTTTTAATTTTAATAAAACACACATTATTTTTCAAGTGTTAGATAATCAAAAATGCAAATATATAAAAATCGTTGGTTGAGAAAAATGCGGAAAAATTATATTAGAGAATATCTGAATTGATGGGATTTATCCAAAATTCGCTACTACATTAGCAGTAGTATCGAGACTGCATCACAAAGTATATTATGTTACTAGGAGTAAAAGTGATGTTTATGTGGCCAAGCTGAATGTTTAGTTTAAAACGCAGTGATTTTTTAGCTTTATATTTTTTGTTTTGTAACTTAAACATCACTTCAATATATTTTTTTTAATGATCAAAATAAAAAAATCCTGTTAAAAATTTAAAATTTGATTTTTTTTTTAAATCTGTCTTGCTGATCCGACAAATGTGTCTTTCTGAAGATTTTACGAAGTACGAGATTCACAAACACTGTATAACAAAATTATATGACACTAGTAATTTATATCACAAGGCTAAAAACTGTCATTTTATAAGTGCAAGAACTTGCAAAACAGTTTCTGCACACACTTGATTTTTTGGTTCGACCAATTATACATTGTCTTAAAAGTTGAATAATCAAATAATATGTGCTAGAAAAGTTACATGTAATATTTAATGTCTAAGTTGAACTCCAAATTATTAAATTACTTCTAAATTAAAAGAATTATTCAATACATCAAATACTTGCTGTGAAATCAAACCGCTTGTCATTTAATAAATGTCAATTACAGATGTTAACGGATAACCAATATTGTCAACATTTGGTAAATTTTTTGATGGCCTAGTTCATCAACAGAGCTGTTTTCAGACGATTTTGACGAAAACAAAATCAACGTTTCTGGACGGAGGCCCAAAAAAGAAATTATGTAATTAAATCAATATGAACATTTTACTACCTGCTTTTGAATAAATATCAAAAATCTCTTCAAAATAAATACATAAAGTCTGTTTTTTTTTTTAAATGGAAATTACCAAGTCAAAATTTTGGTGAAAAAATTGGTAGCAGCTTATCTCCATAGCCACAAATTTTGTTTGCTCTTTGTTTTTGTCCCTAGAAATTTTGTTAAAAAAATTATGGTTATGTTTTCAAATTGAGATGTTGTAAAAATTTTGACTTTTATGAATCTTGTGTGCCTGTTTGAAAGCGCTATAATTGAATACCTGAGGACAGACATCATTACCTAAGGTCTAAACACAGAATTCAGTGCTAATAATTTTGACAGAAACACACCGCAAGTAAGTACAATGTTGTGAATAAAAATGAGATTCTTGCTACAAAAACTTTGAAGAAAAAGGATGTATTTACAGAAAAAAGTTATTTAGCAAAAGATACAAGTGGGTATTATGATGACTGGCAATAAATTTTGTGTAATTTATTGCAAGGAGCTCAAAGTTGATGCATTTTATAAATTTTTCTTCAGCTTTAGTTTCAAAATTGTTAGTTTTTCAACTCGTTCCTCAAAAAGGATGCACAAGACATTAATTTATTTGCGTTCTTTCCAAGGTTCTTTCTCATTCATGTTTATTTTGTATTCTTATCAATTTCTTGCTAAAAATTGAGAATGTTTAGCAAACCTGCATTACAAATTGCGTCTACATTTCCTGCTTGCGAACTATTCGTTTCCAAATTTCTAAAAACTTTTAGTGGTACCGAATTTGTTCCTTTTTTGGTGTTTTGTCTCTAAATTTTCTTAGACGATTTTTTGTGTTCACGTTTAATGACATTGTTTTCAAATTAATTAAAAAAACCGGAACTGCCAACTTCCTTTATTAAAAATACCATGAATGAATTTACTAGTGATGCCAACGTTAAGACTGTTTGGCATTTCCATTTAAAAAAAAAAACAGACTTTATCTACTTCATTGATTTTTTTTCAGAAATGTGCCAAAAATGTAACGTAGTCACATCAAAATGACAAATAAAAAAATTATTGTCAAAAATTTAAATTGATTAAGTTGTTATTAATTTATTCCTTAAATAAGTAGGTATTATAACATAAAGTTATCCAACGAATCATCCTGTTTTTATTTTGCTTGTTTTATACAGGTGTTCCAGCGAGTTGAAAAAGTCCATTAGTGACCTTTAAATGGTGAAATTAAAAAAAAAAATGCATGGGACATTGATAGATACTAATTTAGTGCATCACCTAAAATTATTTTCAATCATACAGCATGTCCCACAAATAAGTTACGATACAAACTTGTGTTTCTTTAAATGAAACACTGTATGTTTCTTCGCATTTTTGGATGTAGCCTCTTAAAACAATGTTTTTGCGCTAAACTTTGATTAGTCAATTTCGCTTAGTTTTAGAAATAAGAAGACGTTTTTTTGACAAAAATATGCACTTTTTAAAAATTTATTACACAAAAACTAATACAGCTAGAACATTTTTTTCTTTTACTTCTTCAAAGAAAAAAGTACAAAATGTAAAGCTGTACCAATTCTTTAGTGTTTTGCATTTGTAAAGATTAATACATCAAGAAGTTTGTTAAAAGTTAAATAACTTATTTTTTTATTTTTGCATCTAATAGATTGATATAGATTGAATTGTCTATCCAAAAAAACAAACTTTTAATGTCTAGAATTGATAATGGAAAAGATATTTAACATTCAATATTAATTATAGCAACAATGCCTAGCAATATTTGAGCATTGTTGATACTATGGCAACCATAGTTAATTCCACCACAGATCACTTATCCGTTGATTTATCCAGAGATTGTAAAAGTCGTTATAAATACTGAAATTCGAATTGTTTTATTGTAAAAACAAAGAACAATGGATTCAGTTTAACACAAATGTAATTATTAAGTGATATTTCTTCCATCTCAAGTGCAACTGTGCAGTTTTTAGCTACTGCAACGATAGTAATTATTTTTTTTAATGTTTAACATTAAATATCTTTTTAGTTATTGATTAAAAACACCTAAAAGTAAATAATTTTAGAAAGAGAATTTAATCTTTTACATGCAAAAACAATAAATAGGGTGTTCCCCTATTGACTTATTGAACTTTTAACAAACGCCTTCATTTTTTTATCTTTGCAAATGCAACACACTAAAAAATGTTACAACTTTATAGCTTGTACATTTTTCTTTGCGGTAGTAAAAAAAATATTTCTAACTGTGTTAGTTTCTGTCTAATAAATTTTTAAAAAGTGGACGTTTTTGTCAAAAAAAAACGTTTTATTTTTAAAACTAAGCAAAATCGGCCAATAAAAATTTGTCACAAAAATCTACATCCAAAAACGCTAAGAAACATATCATGTTTTATTTAAAAAAACACTAGTTGAAAATAATTTTAGGCGATGGATTAGATTAGTATCTATCAATGTCCTATATATTTTTTTTATTTTACCATTTAAAGGTCAGTAATAGACTTTTTCATCTCGCTGGGACATCCTGTATGTATTTGACAATTTTTTTTCCGAATTTCGAAATAAAATAACCGTCAATTTCATAATAAAATTTCGCAAAAATTTTCGTATTGTGGTTTCCAAGGATGTTCAAAATGTAATAAATTAATGATAATAATAATAAACTAGGTATTAATTATAAATCATGTCCGTATGAATTACTGATTACTGATTATATTCAAAGTTTGTCAGACTTGTAATTTTATACAAATCATTTTTTTTTTAATAATACTGCTAATTTTTGAATTCTAATTATTTATTTATTAATATGTTACAACATTATTATAGTGTTTCAAAACAGTTTATCGCACAATAAATAAACCGACACTTATGGTATGATTTTGAAGTTGTTATGTTGAGTTATTATTCTGAGAAAAGAAAATTAAAATGCAAAAATATAAGTAACAACAACGCAGTATAAAAGCAGCTACAGATTTACACTTTTACAATATATTATATCAATGATAAGAAGCCGCATTTACACACACCAAATTTGATGTTTGTAATTGTAAAATTATTTAGTCAAAAACGATGAATTTAATATTAAACAAGTAGTACTATAAATTATCTTTAAATCTAGGCAAAACTTGTCGATTTAACAAAATTGTTATCATTTCTAATCTGTCTGGCATCCTAGCGGCATTCTGATCTAAAAATAAAAAAGCTCATGCACTTCAAATTCCTTAATGACTTGTGTTGAATAGAAAAAGGCAAAACCCGTGCAAACGCATCGACCGCCTTTTATTTTTATTTCAACCACCACCTGTGGCTCTTGCACACTACCAAACATCAAAAACAAACGTTCTTTCATCAAAAAATCCGGGATTTTTAACACAGGTAAGCATGCGAAACCCTCCACACGATGACACACACATCAACGACAATAGGGAATGAGAGCACCAAAGGAAGTGTTTAATAAAAATAAATTATTAATGCTGCACGAAATGATCCGACTGGGAAAATAAAACCTCGGCGCGAATTTCACAAAAATCAGGATGAGTGTGGTAAAGCGTCATAAGGGGGCGTTTATTTTTTTCGGGGGGCCGCCGTGTAGATGTGCAAGCGAAGCGAGTGAAGTAAGGGTATTTACCGTTCACCACGTCGAAAAGGGAATGTTTAGCATCCGTGACAGCAGCACTGAGCACTTTGTGTGAGCCCGCGATATGCTCGCCAACCGCGAAAGTTGTCCGCGAACTGTTCCAACTTCCACTGATTCTGATTCTGTGCTGTGATGTTACCAATTGCAGTCCCACCGGATCTCGCGAATAGCCGGGGGGATGCCGTCGCTCCGCCAATTGTAATTGATACCAGCGGTTAGCGTGGCTGTTTTCTGTTGAATTATTATGCGTACGACGTGGAAATGTCCACGAAAATTTAGACAGAAACAGGAAAACACTCGGGAATTGGGTCACAAGTGGCGATTAGATTAATTAGTGTCTAAAATTTATACGGAAAAATATACAAATTTCACCCATGTGTAAAATCTGTATTTTTCAATTCTACAAAAAGATCCATGTCTCTATCTGTAAATAATAGTATAACGTACCCCGCTATGATGTATTTTTTTCAAAATATTACTTAGATTCCCTAAAAAATTACCATTATTGTAGGTTTTTCTTTGTAACGATGCAACATCTTAAAACAATTTTTTTATAGGCATGTAGATAATTAAAAAATGCACCTCGCTACGTTAAATTTTTTTTGTAATACAAGCTAAATTGCAAAGAAACGTTAAAAAATGGATGCAACCCCCATTACTCTTGGATCGAAAATCTCAAGTTTCTTCCATGATTTACAGCCGTTATCAGGGCCGTACCCAAGGGGGGGGG